AAGTTTAAGACCAGCCTGGCAACATGGCAAGACTCAGTCTCTCCAAAACTGCAAAATTAACCAGACGTAGTGGTGTGCACCTGTAGTCCCAGCTACTCAAGAGGCCTAGGTGGAAGGACTGCTTGAGCCAGGGAGGCAGAGGTTGCAGTGAACTGAGATTGGGGCACTGCACTTGGGCCTAGGTGACAGAGTGAGATCCTGTCTCAAAAAAAATAAAAAAGATTTATGTAAAGATACTCTTACTGGGTTTTCTCTATTATGAAAGTGATTGTGTTTTAAATTTTATTTGTATAAACTTATGGGGTACAAGTATAATTTTGTTTCATGGATATATTACATAATGGTGCAGTCAGGGTTTTTAGTGTGTCCATCACCAAAATAATGTATCTTGTGTCCAGTAAGTAATTTTTCATCATCTACCTCCTGCCCATGTCAAGTCTTCATTATATGTTTATTCAAAAATTAAATATTTCTCCCAAATACTCAGGAAGAAAATAAAAATTGCCCCCAATACCATTACCACATACAATACTGTTTTTAGTGTGCATCCTAGTCTGTTTTTAATTTTTAAAATATTTTTATTTTTGAGACAGAGTCTCACTCTGTTGCCAGGCTGGAGTGCAGTGGTGCGATCTCAGCTCACTGCAACCTCCGCCTCCCAGGCTCAAGTGATTCTTCTGCCTCAGCCTCCCAAGTAGCTGGGACTACAGGTGCACACCACCATGCCCAGCTAATTTTTCTATTTTTAGTAGAGACAGGGTTTCACCATGTTTGCCAGGATGGTCCTTATCTCTTGACCTCGTGATCCGCCCACCTCAGCCTCCCAAAGTGCCAGAATTACAGGCATGAGCCTCTGTGCCCAGCCTGCTTTTTATTTTGTTGTTGTTGTTGTTGTTGTGTGTGTGTGTGTGTGTGTGTGTGCTTCTAACACCTTTTATTAACTTAACTTTCCTTTCCTATTTTTCCATGATTTTACTATTGACATGTACTAATTTTTTTTTTTTTTTAGTTTAGGATCTGTCTTTGAGCCATTCTTGCTGCTGTATTTGCCTATCTATGGTGCTGTTTATATTGTCCTGTGATTGGCTTTATGAGAAGTGTACTCTTTGTAGAGCCAGCTCCCCCTCATTGCCTCTCTGGAGTCTGGGTAGGATAAACACAACCTTGTGCATCATTCTGAGTTGTGACTGTGTTAGTCTGTTCTCACACTGCTAATAGAGGCACACCTGAAACTGGGTAATGTATAAAGGAAGGAGGTTTAATTGACTCACAGTTCCGCATAGCTGAGGAGGCATCATAATCATGGCTGAAGGTGAATGATGAAAGTCATGCCTTAGATGGCAGCAGGCAAGAGAGTGTGCAGGGGAACTCCACTTTATAAAACCATCAGATCTTGTAAGAACTCACTATCATGACAACAGCATGGGAAAGACCCGCCCCCCTAATTCAGTTACCTTCCACTGAGTTCCTCCCACAACAGGTGGGAATTAATTATGGGAGCTACAATTCAAGATAAGATTTGGGTGGGGACATAGCCAAACCATATCAGACTCTGTTAAATTTAAAGTGCATTAAAAAAAAAAAAAAAAGGCCTCTGCACATCATTTTTCCTGTAACAAATCTCATCCATCAAGTGTTCTGTAAATTCGAGAGAAACAGAGGTCTTAAAGTGACTGGTGAGCAAGTCTGGGAAATGGAAATGGATGTTCCAATTCCTATTTTTACTAATTTAATGTGTATAAAATGTTATCCGTATATTTTCTTCATTCCTTTGTTCCTGCCTTCCTTTTGGGGGATTTTCATAGGTTTATTCAAGAGTTTTAACCCCCAACTTGTTTTTCTCATAAGGCCTTAAATTCCACAACCTTACCATCTACCATCTTTGGGGCTTTCAGAATCACAACTCTCAATGTTGAAGAGTGGGCTACTGCATGCAAGGTGGGTGCAAACCCCTAACATTTCCACCTCTGGTTCTGGAAAGTGGGAAATTGGGCATTTCAATACTGCAAGGCATCCTCCACACCGTAAACTCATCGTCTTTACTCAGTTCCTCCAGCACTTTTTTCTCCCAGTCAGTGGGGCATTGCATAGGTTTGTACTGGCTCATCAGAGCTGATTGTGTCATGTCTATAGCCCTTACATTGTGAATAGTCCCCACTCTTGAGAAAATATTCCTCCAGTATTTAAAAAGTATTATTTGATTCAGCAAAGAAGTTGCTTTCATCATTGACTAACAAGTGACATTCTCACATATATCTTTGTTATTTAACTTTCCTGTTACTCCTAACATAAATGAAGATATCAACCAATATTTATACCAAAACTATACATGCTCATCAGTTGCAACCCTAGGTTGGCTTTGTATATAAGAGTTTAGCAAAAATCAATTAAAGCATTCATTGAGAACTAATGATGTACAAAGAGTAAAGAATATAGTTTATTACCATTTGTAATCATTTATTGTCATTTGTAAATTGTGCACTACACATCCTTTACATCGGTAAAATTGAGATAAACTGTGTACATACATATCTGCATACGTTTTAAAGAGTGAAGTGAAAGCAACTTGATTAAGAAAGTAAAGGAATAAAAGAATGGCTACTCCATAGGCAGGGCAGTGCTGAGGGCTGCTGGTTGCTTATTTTCCCAGCTATTTCTTGGTTATATGCTAAACAAGGGATGGGTTATTCATGAAGTTTCCAAGAAAGGGATGGGGGTGGGCAATTCCCAGAGCTGAGGGTTTCTCTCCCTTTTAGACCATATAATGTAACTTCCTGATGTTGCCATGGCATTTGTAAACTATCATGGTGCTGGTTGGAGTATAGCAGTGAGGACAACCAGAGGTCACTCTCATCTCCGTCTTGGTTTTGGCTGGCTTCTTTACTGCAACCTATTTTTATCAGCAAGGTCCTTATGACCTGCATTTTATGCTGACCTCCTAACTTATCCTGTAACTAAGAATGCCTGACCTGCTGGGAATGCAGCCCAGTAGGTCTTAGCCTTAGTTTACCCAGCCTCTATACAAGATGGAATCACTCTAGTTTAAATGCTCTGACATTTCCTCTCTCCTTTTTATAAGAGGACCCTTAATCCTAAGGTCTGTAGAGAGATGAAAGTCCATCTTTATAGCTTCTGCAGGCTGAATGGGGCAATGATATTCCTGCCTAACTATTAGTCTCATATCCAGAATAGAGAGGAGTTCAGTCAGAGAAGGTATCAGTATGGAGAGGGCTATTCCTAGCTCTGACTAAAGGTGATGTAACTAGTTTCCAAATTTTGGAGAAATTAGGTAGAGGGAAACAAATATGCTTCAAATTTTGTTCATAGGAGCATAGTTTACTCAATTGTTGAAAGCTGTCAATAGCTCAAAAGAAAAGTTTGACTTCAAAGTCAGCCAATCAGTGTTGGTCTATTTCCTTTGGGTCAGGGGTCTCCTCAGTATCATCCCTTCGTGGTTGCCATAAAGATGTTACCAGAAAGGGGTCCTAATCCAGACCCCAAGAGAGGGTTCTTGGATCTCACATAAGAAAGAATTCAAGGTGAGTCCATAGAGTAAAGTGAAAACAAATTTATTAAGAAAGTAAAGGAATAAAAGATGGCTGCTCTACAGGCAGCACAGCCCACCCTACCCCGCTTAGTTTTGGAGAGCTGGTGGTTAAACTTTTATCAGCACACCACTGGCCGGAGGCAACAAGCTACTAGCCCCAGGCCAGATGGGTACCGTTGACATTGTTTGACCCACATTAAATTATTTAAAACAAACAAAAATGCTGAATGGCATGCTGACATTTACAAATTGTGAGAATTCACATAACAACCTGGAATTCCTCATTCTCTTGAAGGAGGAGATCTGGCCCCATCAAATTTTCCCATGGCAACACTCAGTTGGAGCTGAGCCACTGTAGAGCTTCAGATGGGAGTGCACCCTTACTTACCCACCATCCCACCACACCCTGTTGTCCCCCAAACCCTGCAGCTAAGTGCCCAATGCCATTTGTGCCCATGTCTGTGCTGTGGATTTTCTCTGCCCATTCTTTATCCCATAGCAGCACAAACAGAACCATATTTTTAGTCCAGAAATCTGAAACCTCAGGCTTGATTTATAACTAAATTAGCTTTCCTTTTCTATTGGTTTAAGTCCCATAACTCAGTTATTTCTCAAAAGACTCACTTAAAACATATGTGAAAAGGATTTGAAACGACTAAAAGCTACCAAATGGAAGA